CCAACACATTCGGACTTTACTCCCAGATTAGGTATGCTTAGCTAACAACAAATAAGAAGACAGCAATGATGAACGTTCTCCGATCGCCAAAGGAACTCGTTCGCCTCGGTGTGCCTTGGGCCCATTTTCTAGTCCCGCCAGCAGCCGCACAGCAGCTAGTAACCTAGGCATTTGAGCACTGCCGACAGGGACAAGGGAGAGTGAGATTACGGTTTCTGGCTCACTTACCGTCATCGGTCAGTCATACCCAACCCCAAGTGGTGCACCACCCAGGGCTTAAACCCGCGACCTTTTGATTCGTAACTTTATCAGTGGCCGCTACTTACCTAGATAATTAATGCTCCAGATCGCATTGCATCTAAAATGCTAAAGAACTTGACGACGGCTGATAAATCATAAATGTTGATCTCGATCTCCATCGTCCTTGCCGGTACACAATACGTGGCCTGCTAGACGAGCATCCACTTTTTTCTCCGTCAGTTCTTTGTTTACTAAAATAATACCTTCTTTTTTAAACAAACAGGAAATGCTACGCAATAGGGACCCCCGACTCAAGTTCGTCAATGATGGAGCCGCCATCAAGAATCCCTTCGCTGTGGACCGCAAGGTGCAGATCAATGTGCTTACCGAAATGCTGTGTGAGTTGCTTTCCTGCTCTTTTCATAAATATTCACTGGCCTACGTATAGTTTGAAAATTTATTCGTGTTACCCTTTTTTATGGGGTGCGTATGTGCCGGAACCCACATGGCGGCTGCTGTAGGACCTAAATGGGCGCCAAACCCCTCGTAGTTGCGCTATGTAGCAGTGGAAACGTTGGCGAAACACATGTATTTGCTTTTAGCTAGAACCCATGTTGGGAGTAAGTATAAACCACAGTCATATAAATCATGACAGACATGGTCAACCTGACAGGGTACTCTGACTCTTTGCATTCCGGTCATTTTTTCTAAGATAACCGCACTCTTTTCTGTCGCACAAATAATGTACAGTATGGCGAGTGCTGCAAAAAACTTGCCTAAGTTTGTAAATGTTTGATTATTTCTCGCATACCAGCGAGAACGCATTTACAAAAACCTATAAATAATAATGAGCAGTTTTAGGCATATTAAGTACTTAAAAGAACAAGAAGAAACACTAGGTGTTTGTTAAGAAAAATTAAATTTTTTTCAATAATCCCCAGGTTCTGGAGACGTCAAAATAGCTATAAATTAGAACAATAAATTTAAATATTTTGTTTAGTATAAAACTGAAAGCATCCACTTTCTTTATATAAAAATAACTCGTCTTAAGTCAAAATATTTTGTAAATATTACCATTAGTGGACAACTATTTATTGAATATCATGGAATAAAGTCTCATCATTTCGGTCGTTTTCAATGTCTTCATTGATAAGTTGATAAATTGCGCTTCTGTTCGCGTTTATCATCAAAACCTTTAAAATAAGATATAACTAAACAGCATTTACCGAAAAACGAGCTTTCAGATATTAGTTCTTATGAAGATGATCATATGTGGAAATGCTTCAAGACAGCAAACCGCATTGTCGAGCATACAAAATGTC